CACGCGATATCAGTGCCTGAAGATCACCAAGAGGGACGCTGATGACTACATCACTTACGCTGGCATTGTCAATTGCGAGTGCGAAAAATTCGATATCAAATCCATCACGGCAGATCAGTTCAAATGCCTGATTTTTTATCTGTGGCCTACATTCCCCACGGGGCGCGGAGATTCGCACCAGGCTGCTGAGTAAACTTGAACAAGACCAGCAAATGACTCTACAGGCCATAACTACTAAATGCCAACGATTGCTGAACCTGAAGCATGACACGCTTATGCTGGAGAAGCAACAATCAACCCCAAGTCTTAGTGTCTTAAAAACAACCTCAAAGAAACCGCTTCCAAGTGAAACAGGCCATGAAAAGCCCAGGGAGTCCCAAACCCCCGACTGCGTGTTGGAGAAGTGGTGTGGCATTTTGTTCGAGTGTGTCCATTCCTGAAACATGTTTGCCACAAGTGTCATAAACGGGGCCATAAGGAAACGCACTGTCGATCCAGACTGCAGTTCAAGCGTGCTAGAGATACGCGACCGAATTCAAATGTTTCCAAAAGATTCAGCAGCTATGGTACGGTTCAAGCGGCCTACTCTGATGAACATGTGGCTCGCAGAAAGTACATCAGAGTTCACCTGAACGGGCAACAACTGCTACTTCAGTTAGATACAGCCTCGGACATCACAATTATCTCCAGCAAAACTTGGCAGTATATTAGTGCTCTGTCAATCAGCCGAACGACACATGTTGCACTTTTCGCTTCAGGAGGTTAACTTAATCTCATTGGTGAGCTGCAGTGTGAAATGGTTTTTGGCGCTGCTCGGGCAAACCGTGTGTACGTTACGGGGCTGTCACATTTGAATCTGCTTAGGCTCGACTGGATCCAGAAGCTCCATTTGTTCGCCATTCCTTTGAGTCAAGTCTGCAATCCTCTCCGGCTCGGATATACGAGGCCCTCTTCAGGTGACGAACCAAACATCAACCTGATAGAGCAGCTACGAAGGAAATTCCCGTCCGTGTTTCGCAACGACTAAGGAAGATGCACAAAGACCAAAGCAAGCCTTACTCTCAAAGTGGGTGACAAACCGCTGTTCCGATCCAAAAGACCGGTACCGTACGCTGCGCTGCCGATTGTTGATGCGGAACTTGATCGTTTGGAGCGGGCCGGTGTCATCCAACTTGTGAACTATTCAGTGTGGGCAGCACCTATTGTTGTCGTCAAGAAGACCAATGGAACCGTTCGTATCTGTGATGACTACTTTACGGGATTAAATGTTACTTTTAAAATGCACCGGTATTCTTTGCCAGTCCCAGAAGATTTTTTTGCTAAGCTCAGTGGTGGCGCTTACTTTACGAAACTAAACTTATCAGATGCATGTCTTCAAATTGAAGTCGACGATGCTTCAAATGAGTTGCTGGCAATTAGTACGCACCGAGATCTTTACCAGTTCAATCGTTTGCCGTTTGGTGTTAAATCAGCTCCCGCGATTTTTTAACCAATTATGGATACAATTTTAGCTGGGTTATCAGGAGTCGTAGCTTACTTGGGCTACATCATAATCAAAGTGACTACCTTTCGAGAGCTGACGGAAACACTGGAAGCTGCTCTCCACCGCGTTAACGACTACGGTTTCCACTTAAAAGCACAGAAGTGCAATACCGGCATGAAGTGTGTAAAGTATCTTGTCTTCATCATCGACAAAGGATGGCCGTCGTGCGGATCCTTCCAACATAAGTGCCATAAAACAGTTGGCTCCGCCTGACAATGTCGCGAAGCTCAGATTATTCTTGGGGTTGATCAATCATTACAGCTCTTTTGTGCCCGAAATGCATCGGCTACGAGGTCCGCTCAATGAACTTCCGGTAAAGGATCGCAAATTTGTGTGGTCTCCTGAATGTCAAGCCACATTTGTTAATGTCAAGTCTATATTGTGTTCTGACCTATTGCTAACACATCTCAATCCGGAGGTCGAGAACATAGTTGCTCGTGACGCGTCAGACTACGGAATCTGTGCAGTCATATCCCACATTTTCCCCAATGGTTCGGAGAAAACTGTAGCACATGCAGCCAGATCACTCACCCCCAGCGGAACGCAACTATGGACAGATCGAGAAAGAAGCTTCGGCTATAGTGTTTGCAGTCAAACGATTTCACAAAATGCTCTATGGACGAAAATTCACGCTGTTCACTGACCACAAACCCTTGGTCCCAAACTTTGGATCAAAGAAAGGCATTCCAGTCTGCACGGCCAGTCGTCTCTAACGCTGGGCAACAGTTCCACTTGGACACGATTTTGTCGTCAAATATCAATCTACACACAACATTGGTCAAGCGGATGCGTTATCTCCTTTACTTGGTACACAGCATCAAGAACCAGAGGATTTGGTAGTTGCTCAAATCTCCGTAGAATCCAAATACATCAAATTGTGTCTGACATTTTCGGTGTCTTACCAGTAACATTCGAAACGGTGCAGGAAGCGACCCATCATGATTCTACCCTATAACAAGTGATTGATTTCCACCTCAATGGCTGGTCTAAGAGAGTTATAACGCCGGCGCTTCAACAATTCCACCAACGAAAGGAAGCACTATCGGTCGTCAGCAATTGTCTGTTGTTCTCAGACCGCGTCTTCATTCCTCTCCTCCTTCAAGGGAGAGTCTTCCGACAATTTCACTGGCCACCCAGGAATGAATCGCATGAAATCGCTGGTACGAAGCTATGTATGTTGGCCCTATGTGGATTCCCAGATCGCGAATTTAACGAAGAATTGTCCCCGATGTGCCAGTGCAGATAAACAGCCAAGGAAGACGGAATTGCAATCCTGGCCAATACCAACGGAACTATGGTCAAGAGTACACGTCGACTTTGCAGGTCCAATTGACAGTCATCATTTTCTACTCGTTGTAGATGCACATAGTAAATAGGCAGAGGTGATTCCAGTGGTGAGAACCACCGCAGCAGCCACTGTCTCCGCTCTCCGACAGGTATTTTCTCGTTTCGGTGTTCCCCACACGTTGCTTTCGGACAATGGTACACAATTCACCTCCTCTGAATTTTTTTGTCTTCTGTCGCAGAAACGCCATCGTCCATGTAAGGTCTCCACCTTTCCACCCCCAATCGAACGGGCAAGCAAAACGCTTTGTAGTTACACTTAAAAGAGCCTTGCTACAAATGAAAGCGGAAGGTACCTTGGAGGAGATTCTTAACATATTTCTTCAGACTTAACGCACAACTCCGAATCCGCAGACACCGAACGCACTATCTCCAGCTGAAACTTCGTTTCAAAGGAAAATCCGTGTGCCGCATGATGCCCTCAGACCCAGGAAGAATCAGTTACTGTCCCGCAACTAACAGATGAAGCGTCAACACAGCATTCGACACGGTGCTCGGAAGCGAGCCTTTAATGTTGCTCAACAAGTTCTGGCGAGAGATTATCGTATTCAATATCCTAAATGAGCTATGGGCCGTGTGCTATCCAAACGTGGTGACCTGATCTACGGTATCCAGGTTGGGACGGCAATTTGGGTAAGACATGCCAAACGGCTTCTAAAGGCAGGGACTGGCGAACAACTGCGACAAGTACCAGCAGCGCAGGTGAAGCGAAGACTCCCAAACATGCCCCCCCACAGCAACCACAACATTCGCACCGAAACCTAGCAGCACAGAGGCCGAAGCGGTGACGGAAATTCGTGTCACCCATGCAAGTCAACCCCAAGCTTAAATCGTACAGCACAACTCAGAGGGGGGAAGTGTTAGAAAGGAATACTCGATGCCAATAAGCCAGGACCCCATTGCCGCGGCAGGCTACCCAAACTCACCCGCCCTGATTGGGGCGAACAGAGAATCAACCGGGATAAACGGCCAATTAACTCGAGGGCGGCTTTCCTTTATTGGTTGTAAGTTGACCTTTCCAGAGCCTTCCACGTGCGCTTTAAATACCATTCACGAACTTTCCATTTCACCTTTATAATGAACGATGTGAATTGCTAATATATCCCTGTTGCTCTGCTCGTCCGATCCGGTCTTCCTTCGGTCCTGTGGGGATCAGTGACTTCGGGTTTTGATTGGGAATCAAGCGTCCATGCCGGCGAGGAACGAACACTTCAGATGATATAGAGGATAATCCATCTCCGTACGCGGTTAGCGCCGTAGAGCCTGTCCTGGTTACTACAGTTGCGTTGGCCCCTCTATGTTTTTGGGAGTATGGTTGTTCTTTATGTTTTTGTACCTAAAATCCACTTTTTACATTTGTAGGATTTCTTCTGATTTCGCCATGTATAATCAGCTGATATCTCGCGTTCCTCAGAGTATATTCTCGCAGGTGAGAGACATATTTTGACGCCATCCTGTAATGAACTACGAGAGCTCAAAAAGGCTATTATTCCGCGAATCACACCCCCTGACAAGGTCCGTCTGCAGCAACTATTTAGTGATCTGCAACTAGGACATGGGATGCCGTCAGAATTGTCACGCGAAATCCACAAGCTCATCGGAACGTCCAACACAGACGTAGGGATTCTCTACGAGCTGTGGATACAACGCCCTCCTGAAAGCATTCAGACTATTCTTACAGCAGCAAATGACTTGCTACTCACAGCAATCGCTGATCTGGCAGACCGCGTCATCGAACGGCGCCAGCCAGAGACTGAAGCCAAAGCACTTTGTCCTGATGCGACCACACCGACACCTGCGACTAGCCAGCCGTCGGCAATAGACGCATTATCATCGCACATAGCGTCCTTTTAGCGCCAGATCGAGGAACTTGCTTTAAACCGTCAACACCGCAGCCGCTCTGGATCATCGCTCCATCGCACAAAACCTGATGCCCTAGGTTACTGCTTTTACCACTCGCGTTTCGATATGAAAGCCCTAAGTGCGTACAGCTACTCCGCTAACGATTATTCCTCACGCCGGCCTGTAATGGCCACGAACGACGTCGGCAAAACTTAAGGCCGAGACACAGTTCTTAGTTCTAACCGGGGCGGAAATCAGCGTCATTTCCCCTATGCCTAGTGAGCCTATTGCTTCTTTGTCGACAGGCTTAACTGCTTCCAGTGGTAAAGGGGGGGTGGGGAGGGGGGGGGGGGGTGGGGGGGGGGGGGGGGGGGGGGGGGGGGGGGGGGGGGGGGGGGGGGGGGGGGGGTGGGGGTGGGGGGGGGGGGGGGGGGGGGGGGGTGGGTGTGGGGGGGGGGGTGGGGGGGTGGGGGGGGGTGGGGGGGGGTGGGGGGGGGGGGTTGGGGTTGGGGGTGGGGGTGTGGTGGTGGTGGTGGGTGGGGGATGGGTAGTGGGGGGGGGTTAGGGTGTGGATTTGGATGTGGGTGGGGTAGGTGGGGGTGTGGGAGTTGGGTTGGTGGTTGGATGGGTTAGGAAGGGTGGGGTGGAGGTTGAGAAGGGGTTGAGTATAAAGGGGGGATTAGTTTAGATGGGGTAGGGAGGATTAAGAAGTGTGATATGATGTTATAAGGGGGTTGAAGGAAAATGTATGAAAATGTGTAGAAATAAGAGGGGAAAAGGTGGAATTGAGAGGGATGAATAGGTTAGATGAGGGGAAAGGTGATGAAAGTGGATAAGATAATATGTAGGTGGGTTGGGGGAAATAAGGGGGAATGGAAGGAATAGAAAAGTAGTGAGAAAGATTTTAGTTTGGTGTGATGTGGCGGAGTTAGAGCACATGTTCGTGCTTGGAATAATCCGCCCTTCCGACAGCCCTTGGTCCTCTTCCCTGCAGATAGTTCCCAAGAAATCTGTTGACTGGCGCCCTTGCGTTGATTACCGCGCACTCAATTGGCTAGCCGTCCCAGATAGGTATCCCATCCAACACACGCAAGAACTTACCGCATGCCTCACAGATAAGACGATCTTCAGCAAGATCGATCTGGTTCGCGCCTATCACCACATATCTGTATAAGAAAATGACATTTCTGTAACAGCCGTTATCACTCCTTTCGGTTTGTTTGAATTTTTAAAAATGCTATTTGGACTGTGTAACGCCGCACATACCTTCCAACGCTTCATCCACGATGTCACTCGTAGCCTAGACTTCATTTATTCCTACCTCGATGATATTTTAGTCGCCAGTTCATCGGAACAAGAGCACCTCGACCACCTTCAAACTCTCTTCCTGCGCTTGATCAAACACGGTGTCACAGTCAACCCGACTAAGTGCGAACTTGGCAAACCAACGGTAGAATTCCCAGGCCACTTCGTTTCGTCGTCTGGTATCGAAGTCCTTCTTGATAAGATTCAACCAATCAAGGACTTCCCAGCTCCGACTTCATTCAAGCACCTCCGTTGATTTCGCGGTTTGATCAACTACTATCGACGCTTCATTCCGCGCTGCGCTCAGCTCATGCAACCTCTGAATGACCTACTCAGAGATAATGAACGTAAGTTCGCTTTCCCCGACACAGCATAGGCAGCCTTCGCCGAGCTCAAGGATGCTATCTCTAACATAGCCATCCTCGCTCATTCCGAACCGACTGTACTCCTTTTTATTACGACTGATGCCTCAGCCGTCGCGGTAGGAGTCGTCACCCAGCAGCACGTTAGTGAGCAATGGCAGCCCCTTGGGTTCTTCTCCAAGTGACTGCAGTCAGCGGAATCCCGCTACAGCACGTTTGACCGAGAACTGCTGGCCATTTACCTAGCCATTCGTCACTTCCGGCACACACTCAAATGCCACACTCTTACGATCTACACTGACCACAAGTCCCTCATCCTCGTCTTCAACTCTGCTTGCGACAAATATTCACCACGGGAAATAAGACATCTAGACTTTGCCACACAGTTCACTGTGACATACCTCATGTTTCAGGTATCGGCAATCTCCTCCCCGACGATCTTTCACTCGTCAACCTCACTCTTCCGTCTTTGCCTTCCGTCAAACTTGCCGCCATGACATCGGCTCAGACTCAAGATAAAGACGTACAACGCACTCTGCAGTCCACTTCGCTGCATGCGCAACCTGTTCCTCTGCAACCCACGGAAAGAACCATTCTCTTTGACACTTCCACAGGTTGCCCTAGACCCCCGTGCCTGTCTCCTTCAGACGCACAGTCTTTGACGCACTGCACTCACTATCACATCCTGGTATAAGTGCATCTTTGAAACTGGACACCGAACGTTTCGTTTGGTCACGCATAAACCAAGAGGTTCGTACCCGGACTCGCGCCTACCTTCAATGCCAGCGCTCCAAAATACATCGTTACATCCGCAGTCCTCTTGGTTCATTTTCCTACCCCGGACTCTCGGTTCTCGCATGTACACTTAGAACTGGTATGTCCCTTGCGTCCTTCACGCGGATTCGTATACATTCTTACACGTGTCGACCGCTTCACCAGATAGCCAGAAGCCATTCCCGTAACAGATTGCACAGCTGCGACTGTAATCCGGGCCTTCTTAGATCGATGGGTTTCGCACTACGGATGCCCATCTACCATTACAGCTGACCGAGGAAAGCCTTTCGAATCTTCACAATTCGACACGTTCCGCAACTTTTTAGGTTGCCGCCGCATTCACACCACAGCGTATCACCCAGCAGCCAACGGGTTAGTTGAACGCTTCCATAGGGAGCTCAAAGCCTCGCCCTGCGCCTCCTCTGACCCTAGCTGGAGTGAAAACGTTTCGTTCGTACTCTTAGGCATCCGCAGCAGCATTAAAGCTAACTTACAATATGCACTAGCAAAGCTGATTTACGGCACAACGCTAAAGTTGCCAGGAGAATTCGTTCCGCTTCCTGCATCGCCTAACTTTGCATCCTCCCTAGCTTAACGCATGCGTTCACTACGCTCGACTCCGCCCCGTTAGCAGACTAGAGATGTGCAAATACACAGCGAACTCTACCTGCACTCACGTCTTTCTCTTCACCGACGCAGTGCGGCGCCCTCTCCAGCCTCCCTACACTGGCCCTCTCAGAGTCCTGCAACGGACTCCGGAACATTTCAAGTCAAATCAGAATGGCCACGGAACAACGGTGTCCATCGATCACCTCAAAGTGGCTTTATTTGACGAACCACTTGCAGCTCATCATGATGCTGTCACAAAACCAGCCGCGCCTGCGGTGGCTTCCCGAGCACTGAATATCCTGAAACCCTCCGTTCCCCTTGAACCTTAACCTACCCCGCCTCAACCCCAGGCAACTGACCGACGCGGTAGACAGGTCTAACGTCCTGCTCGTTTTACAATATTTGTAAACCTTTGCTATTTCCACCAACAAGACTTTTTCATCTTTAGTGCTAACCGTGCGTCTCAGCTACAAACGTTTTGCAAAATCGGCAAAAAAACCCAATGCTTTTGAAAACTTAGAAGGCCTATTTGCTTCTATCATGCATGCCATGTTCCCTCTGCGGCGTTAAGCCCCTTCCCCCGACCCTTGCACACCCACTATGAGTTCTAGCTCCCAGAAACTCAACCGCCGGAACTGCCAAAGCAATCCTCGAGTGACTTGCCAACCGGCTCAAAGCTACCCCCGAGTGCGTCGCCAGCCGACCCAAGGCCCCCTTCCTGACCCAAGGAAAAGTAAGTCGCTCTCGGCCGCGGACGGCCACGAATGGGCTGGTCCCCAAACGCCTGGCTAGGCGTTACCGACAAGGACGCCGGATTTCTTCATGGGACGAGGACGTCCGGATTTCTCCCAGGGACGAGGCCACCCGGAATTTTTCGTGGGACAAGGACTGTGGGCTAGAGTGCAGTGGTTAGAGTGACACCTCCCAAGTGCACCGTCGGGTCTGCAACGAAGGGAATGTCCTGTCGGCCTCTTTTCTGGACTGGCCAGTTTTTTTGCAGTCCGACCAGCCCGCTCCGATGGCCCACTGATGATGCACTCTGGTCCACAAGATCATTATAAATAATTAATGACAAAAACCTTGGCCCAGCGAACTCTGCTACACACTTCACCTTGGAAACCCTTGTTCAAACCTATGCTACTATTCGCACCCATCCTCACCTCCCGTTTCCCCTACTAACAGCTCCATCGAAGGGTTCCATTCTTCAGTATTCTAGGCTGAAGCCCCTGCATTGTACCGGAAAACACAGTGTTTCAGTATTTTGCATCCTTGCATTTTACCGTTGTTTTAACTTTCAAAACATCTACTTGTTTTACTGACGGCACTTCCGTTGACACCAAATGCTTTGGTGAGTATCTTGCTGCACCGTTTCTCGCTCTACTTGATTCGCTTCCTATTTTTGTAGCCTGCACAATGCACGTTGGGTTCAGTCGCCTCCAACTTCTATACTGTCCCGTATATGACACAGCTCTTATTGTCATTGATTACCGACTAGTATTCCAGGCGCCACCCAACACTTGGTGACCCCAGTCCAGAACACGCCGTCCGCCATTATGCATTTTCATTCTGGCGCCACCCAACAAATGTGTGTATAACTGCATAGTTTGCGTTTATACGTCTGCCATTGTTTTAGTGACTGTTTGACAGCGTCGGCTGTGTAAGAATAGACGATTGATGGCTAATAACAGCCCTGCAACTCGCCATCTTCTGGACTGTTTTAGTCAGGTTTTCATGATTTTTCATGAGCGGTACTATACAACTGCCTATTTGAATTGCTGTGCATGTTTGACAGGACCAGAGCGCATCAGTCAGGTTGCTTTCTCTCTTTCATTCTAGCTGTCTTGCACCAGCACACCTGGGTTGAAACGCAAGAACGCAGTTTACACCTATGATGACACTTCCAACCCGTCGTACACATTTCGGCTCACCACTTTTGCTGTTAGTTTGGCGTCCTTTCCATTGAGGATCGTTATGGCAGTGGAATGCTGCACTTGTTTAGTCACGTGAAGTAGAGGGCGCATGCTCCTCGCATCGTTTGTCCTAGTCGCACCCTCGACGTCGGCTACCGTAGGTGCGTGTGTCACGACAACAACACACATGCACGGAGTTTGGCTAGCTGATTGTTCCACACTGGTTCTTTTAGGGCACAGCCGTTTGAATTGGCTTGTAGTTGGTGGATGTCAGTTACAAGTATCAGCGATGGACGAATACAACAGAAATTACATATTGAGTCGTAGGTTCGTTAGAAATGATCCTATGGAAGTAATTCTAGAAGTACCAGATAGCACGGAGGATCCTTGGTCGATCACAGTGTCTAAGCAATGAAGGCTGTTAAAAAACAACAGGGTGGCACCTCTGGATGTAAGCACGAAGCGCGCTACAACAACTGGGGCGGCACAAATCACTTTATTTAGGAAATAACTCCGTAAAAGGATGCCCACTAAACACGGGACTAATCCGATTCGAATGAGTGTATGATGATTGCGTTAGGTGGAGAGGAAGACGTGAATGTCTG